CTTACCAAGAAAAATGCACTTAGTATCTTTACATAATCACACGTTTGTTAACGGATCGAATTCAGCACACTGTGCACGTGTAAATGTAGGGCGCAGCCATATTGCGTATGAAGTAGCTCCGGTTCAATGGAGGTTTACATGATACAGCCGAGGTTTGATGAAGGTGACGGAATCAGCCGAGGTTTGCCGAATGGCTCCAACATTTGAATATTTACATGGATGTTAAGCCGTCCAGTTCAGGAAATAACTGTTCGTAATGAAAAAACAATGATCGCTACTGAGAATAATCTTACTATTATTGTACTAGTTCTTTATATATGAAGTCAAAAGCGGTGCTATATCGTCTTCAGTTTACATACCTTCAAAGGAATTTCGGGTTAAAAAGGTAAGCGTGATTTTAGGCTAATTAGAAACATTCTTCACACCAAAGAAAGATCTAACAATCATTTGTTGAACGAAAAAAAAATATATGTTTCAATAATTTTATCTTTTTCATCGCTTTGACGGTTCAGAAGTTCCGAAACCAGTGTCACTGTGACAGAAATATGTAGACAAGATATCGTCTCGCTGTGTGATTCGGTCACGCCATGACCTCTGACCCCCTAATAAGTTCATACAGAATTGAACATATTTTCTCTTCTATAGGTTCATCTAAGAAAAATATTTGCAAATGTAAATAAAAGTAAATGATCTTAATTAAGCTCGCTGTTATTAACTGGGATTTACTCACAGTTTCTCACATATGAAGTTGCTTTTGACGCTGCAAGGTGCATCGTTCCATTGGAAATTGAACGGATGAAACAACTCGGCACAATCCTCCGTATGGCCCAAGTCATTTGGCTCGCCTGCACCCCAATCTGTGAAATCTACGTTATCTTGTGTCGTATGCCAGATATATTTTCCCTCCTGTATGGTATCAGACAAACCAATCCAGTAGTTCGCTGTAGAGTAAGCACAAGGAAAAGTGTATCCTATAGTACGCATATTATATCAGGGTTATAACTTTTTGGACTCGACCCCACAAAAAAGTGTTCAGACCTCGATGAAAAGAACGATAGATGAAAAAAAAAAAAATCAGAGATCCTAGCCAATAGGAACATAAAATCCACTGTCATGCAGCATTAACGAATGGTTTTGCATTCATTAATGAAACATTTGTATATCATAATATATTTTTATCATCTGGACGAAATAAAAGCAATAATAGAGGCAAGAATACACTTAAACTGCATATTATATTAAAAGTGAATTTTATCTCATTAGTTGCTATTACAGTACTTTATAGATCATGAGTTAGCCCTTACCTGTCGCTCCTATGTCCAACAAGTGCTTTTTCAAGAAGTTATTTTCTGTGTCAGTTTCTATCTCTACCAGGTGAGCACCAACTGTACTACAATAAAACTAAAAAAAAATACTTGTATACTTTTATATTTTGTTTCTTCCTCTTATTCGGAAGTAATTTGTATCCTAGTGATATATTTTTGAAGATTTTTTTTAAAGTGATCTGAATTCTGTAGACCGACACAAGAAACCATTCATTTTCTATCACACTCCCCAGATCTACTACAGTGTTTAAAGCAGTTCGTCAATTTATGTTTTGTATGAATTAAAGTGGCTCTATTAAGCTCCCTAGATAATAAAACTTTTTATACAAATCATGCAAAAACATTCCTGGATTACAGTTATGGAAGTTAAATTCTTAAGAGAGACAAAGATTTTTGTCTAATTCTTTTTGTTGTGTCGAAAATGTAATGGTCTTAATTATCTGACTCGAAACTAAAATCGATCATATTAGGTTCCATGGTCACTTTCAGATAAGTTCCAATTCATTGTCAGATCTGCATGGTTTGTGTGCAATTTAAAACAAATATTAATTTATTTTCTGCGACATGCTATCAAGATCCGTGCATTTCTTTGCGAGAAAAGGTTTGTTTTCTTTTATATAGGACAAAACTTTTCTTTAATATTCCATGTAATTATACAGCTTAAAATTTTTGTCTTGAAATTTGTGTAAATAAATGAAGCGACATTAAGATTTACAGTGGAATAAGATTTTGAATATTATATTATTTTATCTAATGTTATACTTTAATGTAAATTAGTTGAATCTGATTCGTAGAGAAACATTTGTTAAAAAACACTATTACCCGCTGAATGATGAAGCCACGCCCTCCAGCGTAGCAACAGTCAACATTGCTTAACGACGGGTGATATTCCAAAAAAAAAAAAAAAAAAAAAAAAATAGTGACTGCGCAGAATTTACGCGCGCACGGTTCACTGTTATATGTATTTGTATAAAACATTCAGTATAATATAATAAATATTGCATGTAGTTGAGTGAAACATTGAAAATTTTCACCCCTCGAAAACCATTGTCAACCTCGGCTGCGCCTTGGTTGACAATGGTTTTCGTGGGGTGAAAATTTTCAATGTTACACTCAACTACATGCAATATTTACATAATACTACCTGATCCCACTTGTGGAATTTCTGGGCGTACATATGTAATGCCTGTTCACAGATTTTTTTTTTAAGATCAATCACTGTTTGCTATCTTCACCTTTTTCACTATGTTCATGTCAAAACTCTAACTGTATATATACCGTAAAATACTTACAAACCACTGATCTTGGAAATGAAATCGATCTTTTAAATCATAAATATTATGTATGAGTAAATTTGTAAACGATATATAAAAAAAAATATTTGGTCATTTTTTGTAGAATGAATGAGTAGTGTTCTCATATATTTATTGGGTGTATTCTGCAGCTTTTGCAGGTTTGTAGGAATCGGGTTGGGGCATGGTTTGTCATGGAGTTTCTATTTGGTTGTTCCCCTTCCCCCAACTAAAATTGCTTTCTACGGGTCTAACACTTTACCATGGCTTCAATCCAACCGTCAGGTTCAGAATCTATGAATGCATAACACGATCCTCCGTGGACAATCCAACCATTAGGACAAGCCTGGCTATTCACCATCAAAACTGTAACAGCAGGAGAATTAGTATATACTGGTTCCATCAAAACTGTAACAACAGTAGAATTAGTATATATACTGTACAATCTAAATAAGTATAAACTAGTACCAACAAAACTGTAACAGCAGGAGAATTAGTATATACTGGTACCATCAAAACAATTAGTATATACTGGTAGCATCAAAACTGTTACAGCAGTAGAATTAGTACAAACTGGTACCATCAAAACTGTTACAGCAGTAGAATTAGTATACACTGGTACCATTAAAACTGTATCAACAGTAGAATTAGTATATAATGGTACCATCAAAACTGTATCAACAGTAGAATTAGTATATATACTGTACAATCTAAATAATAAGTATAAACTAGTACCAACAAAACTGTAACAGCAGGAGAATTAGTATATACTGGTACCATCAAAACAATTAGTATATACTGGTACCATCAAAACTGTTACAGCAGTAGAATTAGTACAAACTGGTACCATCAAAACTGTAACAAATGTAGAATTAGTTTACACTGGTACCATCAAAACTGTATCAACAGTAGAATTAGTATATCCTGGTACCATCAAAACTGTAACAACAGTAGAATTAGTATATACTAATACCATCAAAACTGTAACAACCGTAGAATTAGTATATCCTGGTACCATCAAAACTGTAACAACAGTAGAATTAGTACATACTAGTACTGGTACCAACAAAACTGTAACAACAGTAGAATTAGTATATGCTGGTATCATCAAAACTGTAACAACAGTAGAATTAGTATATACTAATACCATCAAAACTGTAACAACCGTAGAATTAGTATACACTGGTACCATCAAAACTGTAACAACAGTAGAATTAGTACATACTGGTACCATCAAAACTGTAACAACAGTAGAATTAGTATATGCTGGTATCATCAAAACTGTAACAACAGTAGAATTAGTATATACTGGTACCATCAAAACAATTAGTATATACTGGTACCATCAGAACTGTAAAAACAGTAGAATTAATATACCTATAAAACACTCTTATTTCTTACATAATATTTAACACTCTAGAAAGAGTATGAAATTATTTTATCTAAACCAGAAGATAGATTGCAGAAAACCATACAGTGTGTTTTTGTGTATAAGACTCAGAGAAAAGAACTTTGTATAGAATATAAAGGGAATGTTTGAAAGTGGAGCACTGAATCTTACCGAAGGAGGAAAAAATAGAAAAGAATAAAAACCCTCTCATGATTATATACAGGATAACGTGTGCAAATACCGAATATACAGACATGTATTAAACAATACAAACTGATAAGAAAATAAGTACTGACGTACCGAATATTGATATGAATTTGCAATAATATGATCGTTTGATAAAACAAACAACGAAAAAAAATACATACTGTAATCCTTATACTTTTGTGATTAAAAAATATTTAACAAGCTATCATATGCCATGCTACTCAAATCTTACCAAAAACATCGTGTAAAGAGTATATCTCTTGAAAACATAATATTCATTTCTTATAATATGAACAGTCTTGTTCAACTCCAAAATCGGAGTATACATTTTAATACGAAACAGACGTGTCTAAGCTAGATATATTTACAACCAGTCATTTCAAAAGACAACAGCTATCTTCAACGGTATAAACATTTCTCAGAACATCAAGATGTATAAACATTTCCAAGAATCTTAACCTGAATACTTATATAAAAGATGACAACCTGTCTCATTTGACTGACGTGGACAAAAAGTGAAAGTATTCAATCAGAAGTGATGACAACTGTTTTGAAATCCCGACAGCGGCAAAAACAATAATCAGAAGTTTTAAAACGAAGCAGATTTGTTTCATAATAGAAATTACAAACACATATTCATGGACCACCAAAAATGAAATGCTTTCTTGATTTCTTTTATTGCCCAAAATCATTAGAACACACACTTGAGATTAAAGCAAATTTATTCAGTGAGAAAAACACAAAATTACATCTACGGGGTTTTTTAAAAAAATGAAATTGATTCCAGGGAAACTAGATTAGTTCTTTGTTTTTAAAGCCTGACTCATCCAATAATGTTTGGATTAGTAGCAGTTCTGAAAAGAAATTATAATGAAAAACATAAAATTACAAAATACATGAAAACACGACCTCAACGTTTTATACGATAGCAAACACTTTCTTAAAGGTCTACAGTTAATGGAATTTAAGATGCTACATGTATAGAAATATAATGTTTAAGATAATAACATTATTACGCTTTAATACAATCAAATATATATTCAAAACATAAACAATAAAATCTCATGGTATGTATTATTCATAAACTGTCACGACAAAATGCTTAATCATGTTAACAGATCACATAAAGGATGAATTCTGTAATGAAAATAGCAAAAATTGCCTGATTGTCTACAAAAAAGAGGTAATACTTTAATACCGATGGCGAACCAAATGCAAGAAATTCGTGTCCGCTTAATTCTGAGCTTGATATTCAATATATACATCTATAGAAGTCTTCAGACACCGGCTCCATTTGTTAACGCATGACATTCGCGCACATCATCTGAAGAGCCAGACACATGATATTGTTGTATACACATATTAAGAAATGTATTCAACTCACTCTTTTTCACAGATGAAATCGTATTTGGAGGAGCAGGGTGAATCATTCCATTGGTAGTGATAGGGGAAATAGAGGTTGGCACAATCTTCTGTAACCATATGAACATGATGGTAATCGTTTGGTTCATTTGGAGCCCAGTCTACAAAATCTACGTCATCTTGGGTCGTTTGCCACAAATACTTCCCCTCTACTAACGCATCCGTCAGACCTATCCAGTAGGTGCCTACATTGAGGGAAAAATGGACGAGTTTTAGTAATTACAATTAATTTGCACAGCATTTGTCAAAGCTGGGCTCTAGACTCAGACAAGAGAAGACCAGCAAAATGGTAGGCCACAATACTAGTAGCGAAGGGGTGGTGACTCTTACATTTCACAGTTATATAATATTGTACCAATAAAAACATTCAACTTAAAGTACATACCGTTAGTTTTAACAGATACCAAATGGTTCTTCAGGAAGCTGTTTTCAGAGGCACTCTCTATTTCAACTAATTTTGCATGAAGGGTACTGCAATAAAACTAACAGAAGAAAGAATAAAAAAATTTTCTATGAGATTGACTTGAGATTCATTTTTATTTAGTATATGTCTCTAGTTTATTGGCAAACATTATAATCGGGTAAGATAAAAAAAATTAGATACTTTACAGAAACTTTACTCTTACTCAAACTTATCAATTACAATGCATGATCAAATAATTTTTTTTTAATTCAGGTTTTCATGCTATATCAAACTGAACTGCCAGCATCTACAATATTTTTATTAGTCCCCTACCGGTGAAACCGGAGGGGACTATAGGTTTCCTCTGAGTCTGTCCGTCCGTCTGTCCGTCCGTCTGTCTGTCTGTCCGTCTGTCTGTCTGTCTGTCTGTCTGTCCCTCTGTCTGTCTGTCAGTCTGTCCCACTTGGTTTTCCGCACTTTTTTCCTAAACGCTTGCAGATATTGAGCTGATTTTTGGTATGTGAGTGTATTTTGATGAGTTACAGATCAAGTTTGAATTGCATTCCGCTTCATTGATTTTTGACGGAATTACGGCCTTTTCAATTTTTACGGGTTTTCCGCAATTTTCTTCTAAACGCTTGTAGATATTGAGCTGATTTTTGGTATGTGGCTTTACCTTGATTAGTTATAGATCAAGTTCGCATTTCGTCCCGCTTCATTAATTTTTGACAGAATTATGGCATTTTCAATTCTGAACGGGAACCAGATTACATGCACTTGCCGGTAGGGGACTAGTATTGCTAATGCAATACTCCCAGAATGCTTGTTTGAGTAGATATTTGGAAACATTTGGAGGACTTTTTGAGGATAGGGCTCATATATATTAGTGAATCTCAAAATGTCTCGTCTAACCTACTTGTTATAATTTGAATTATCTTTTTAAATATATTTTTTATTTATCTGGTCAATAGTTTTTTAATATCCAGTCTTTATCTGGTTAACACTTGCCATGGCCTCTGTCCAACCTAGTGGTTCGGCATCAATGAATGCGTAACAAGATGTTGAATGGTGGTACCATCCTCCGGGACAGGACTGACTAGTAATGACTGTAACTACAGGGGTGTAAACGGTTCATACTTCATGTAAGAAGTCACGAAAATCAAAAGAAATGGGTTGGTGTTTGGTCTTTGTTCAAGATAGAGCTTCTGGTAAAGTCAGCAGCATTGAGAGGCATTTGTCTAAGATAGAGCTTCTGGTAAAGTCGACAGCATTGAGCGGCATTTGTCCAAAACAGAGCTTCTGATGAAGTCAGCGACATTGAGCGGCATTTCTCCAACACAGAGCTTCTGGGTCAGCGGCATTTGTCCAAGACAGAGCTTCTGGTAAAGTCAGCGGTATTTGTCCACCACAGGGTTTCTGGTGAAATCAGCGGCATTGAGCGGCATTTGTCCAAGACAGAGCTTCTGGTGAAGTCAGCGGCATTGAGCGGCATTTGTCCATCACAGTGCCTCTGGTAAAGTCAGCGGCATTAAGCGACATTTGTCCAAGACAGAGTTTCTGGTTAAGTCAGCGGCATTGAGCGGCATTTGTCCAACACAGAGCTTCTGGTGAAGTCAGCGGCATTGAGCAGCATTTGTCCAAGACAGTGCCTCTGGTAAAGACAGCGGCATTGAGCGGCATTTGTCCAACACAGAGCTTCTGGTAATTTCAGCGGCATTGAGCGGCATTTGTCCAACACAGATCTTCTGGTAACTTCAGCGGCATTTGTCCAACACACAGCGTCTAGTTAAGTCACACGGTACTTCTGCTAAAGTTAGTTGCAAAGTTTAAATAACTTATATGAAAAGTTGAACTTTTCTCAAAAAAATGCTCACTTTTGTACAATGAAAATTCTTTTGCCTTAAAAAGATTCACAGAAGGCCTGAAAAATTAATTTGTGCAACTGCATAAATAATGTTTTGTTTAGACCAAGGATAGAAGAATCTGAAATACAATTAATTCTTTTTCTACTGATAGAATTAACTTATAATTGACAGAGGGTTTACCATTCTATCTATGAAAGGTACTGTAAAGATATTTGTTTTTCTTTAATGGCAAGGATTTGATCATTAATTAGCATTTTTGTTTCCCCCCTTTCTTTTGATAATATTTTCATTAGTATCTAGATAATACAATAATATTAGACTAAACTGACTTCACTAAATAGCATAATTCTGGCCTGTTATTAGTCTAGAAGCATGCTAATTAAGCATTAAAGTAATGGCAGTCAGATACATACTTATCACCAATGTGTGATTCTGTCCCAAAATCTTAGCAAGTGTTTAAAACCCAAAGATGATTAGGCACATACTGTTAATCATCTGGCTTCAATATTCTAATTTTGTAAGAAATGTAATCATTGATATTGCTTGATTATGACTATTAACTTAAGGGCATCCCATGCATAAGTAGCAAAAATATATCTTTGATCTTTAATTTTAAAATTAAGGAAAATATGTAAAGAGTCCATAAATTGAGGTACATTAGAAAAAGCTTTACCATGAGATTTGTTTCAAAATTATCACAAAATAGATGTCTAATTAGAGTCTAAGGACTAATTAATGTCCCCCATTCAATACAAGTTAAACCACAAGAAAGAATGCCCCTTCCATATAAGGTAACTACATGAAGAATACCACTCAGTTTGTATTAAGTCACTTCATAAACAATGCAGCTTATTCCGTATAAGGTCATTACATGAAGAAAGCTGCTCATTTTGTATAAAGTCACTTCATAAAGAATGCAGCTTATTCCTTATTAAGGTCAGTACATGAAGAAAGCTGCTTATTCCGTATAAAATCACTTCATGAAGAATGCCACTTATTCCGTAAAAGGACACTACATGAAGAATGCTGCTTATTCTGTATAAGGTCATTACATGAAGAATGCTGCTTATTCCGTATAAGGTCACGACAGGAAGAATTCTGCTTATTTTGTATAAGGTCACTACATGAAGAATGCTGCCTATTCCATATAGGGTCACTACAAGAAGAATGCTGCTTATTCCGTAAAAGGTCACTACATGAAGAATGCTGCTTATTCCATATAAGGTCACTACATGAAGAATGCCGCTCATTATGTATAAGTCAATACGTGAAGAATGCTGCTTATTCCGCTTATGGTCATTACATGAAGAATGCAGCTCATTCCATATAAGGTCACTACATGAAGAATGCAGCTCATTCCATATAAGGTCACTACATGAAGAATGCCGCTTATTCCGTTAAAGGTCACTACATGAAGAATGCCGCTTATTCCGTAAAAGGTCACTACATGAAGAATGCTGCTTATTCCGAATAAGGTCACTACATGAGGAACACTGCTTATTCTGTATAAGGTCACGACGTGAAGAATGCTGCTTATTCCGTTTAAGGTCACTACATGAAGAATGCTGCTTATTCCATATAAGGTCACTACATGAAGAATGCTGCTTATTCAGTATAAGGTCATTACATGAAGAATGCTGCTTATTCCTTATCAGGTCACTACATGAAGAATGCTGTTTATTCCGTATAATGACATTACATGAAGAATGCTGCTTATTCCATACAAGGTCACTACCTGAAGAATGCTGCCTATTTCGTATAAGGTCACTACATGAGGAACACTGCTTATTCCGTATATGCTAATTACATGAAAAACTTGCTCATTCTGTTTATGGTCACTACATGAAGAATGCTGCTTATTCAGTATATGATCACTACATGAAAAATGCTGCATTCCCGTATATGCTTTTTAGATGAAGAATGCTGCTAGTTCTGTGTTGGACTTTACCAGAGGCACTGTGTTAGCCAAATGCTGCTCAATGCCGCTGACTTTATCAGAAGCACTGTGTTGGACAAATGCTGCTCAATGCCGCTGAAGTTACCAGAAGCTCTGTTTTGGACAAATGCCGCTCAATGCCGCTGACTTTACCAGAGGCACTGTGTTGGACAAATGCCGCTCAATGCCGCTGACTTCAGCAGAAGCTCTGTGTTGGACAAATGCCGCTGACTTCATCAGAAACTCTGTCTTGGAGAAATGCCGCTCAATGCTGCTGAAGTTACCAGAAGCTCTGTCTTGGACAAATGCCGCTCAATGCCGCTTACTTTACCAGAGGCACTGTCTTGGACAAATGCCGCTCAATGCCGCTGACTTCACCAGAAGCTCTGTGTTGGCTAAATGCCGCTCAATGCCGCTGACTTCATCAGAAACTCTGTGTTGGAGAAATGCCGCTGAAGTTACCAGAAGCTCTGTGTTGGACAAATGCCGCTCAATGCCGCTGACTTCACCAGAAGCTCTGTGTTGGACAAATGCCGCTCAATGCCGCTGACTTCATCAGAAGCTCTGTGTTGGACAAATGCCGCTCAATGCCGCTGACTCACCAGAAGCTCTGTGTTGGACAAATGCCGCTCAATTCCGCTGAAGTTACCAGAAGCTCTGTCTTGGACAAATGCCGCTCAATGCCGCTGACTTTACCAGAGGCACTGTGTTGGACAAATGCCGCTCAATGCCACTGACTTCACCAGAAACTCTGTCTTGGACAAATGCTGCTGAAGTTATCAGAAGCTCTGTGTTGGACAAATGCTGCTCAATGCCGCTGACTTCACCAGAAACTCTGTCTTGGACAAATCCCGCTCATTGCCGCTGAAGTTACCAGAAGCTCTGTGTTGGACAAATGCCGCTCAATGCCGCTGACTTTACCAGAGGCACTGTCTTGGACAAATGCCACTCAATGCCGCTGACTTCACCAGAAACTCTGTGTTGGACAAATGCCGCTCAATGCCGCTGACTTTACCAGAGGCACAGTGTTGGACAAATGCCGCTCAATGCCGCTGACTCTACCAGAAGCTCTGTTTTGGACAAATGCCGCTCAATGCCGCTGACTTTATCAAAGCACTGTGTTGGACAAATACCATGTTTTGACTCTCAGAAAAGTTTTTAAAAACACCTTACCCAATATATTTCTTAGTACTCGTAGTATTCTATAAACTAAAAGTAATCTTTCGTGACTTCTTACATGAAGGAATAGCCGTGTAAACAGAACAGCAAGGTCATCTCATTGACATTATCACACATAAAGAATATAAAACATTTAATGTGTAAAAATATAATGAATTTAAACAATAATATATGTATATATTCAACTGAAACGGATATATAACATTTATTTAATTTTTATCCATTACTTTTCTACTCTTTCTTATTTGGGGTAATCATATATCAGAAAACTTATATAATTGTGATTATTTTTTTATCATTGAAGGGATGCAAATGTTAGTGATAATTATCAACAAGAAAACGGAACTTTTTACCTATGGACGACAAAAGTACAACTCTGTAGAAGGATCCCACGTTGACTGTTAACTTAAAGATAAGAATGGACTGTGCCAGAGTGCTATCTTCACATTAATCTATAAATTAGTAAGAACAGCTACGAATTCAGTGATTTTCATGAAATGTTTTAAAGGGGCTGGGAAACAGATTAAAAGCTCATATGTTCTAAAATTTTTAAATAATATTATCTTCTATAATATTTATTTACTATGTAAATTATTATGAAAATTGTATTATAACTGGCACCAGGAGAGGAACTTGTAAGTTGTCAGAAGTTGTTTCCAATCCATAAATATGTTCAAACCAACTACCTAACCTCCACGGTAGCTCAGTCGGTAGAGCGCTCGCTCCGTGATCGAAAGGTCGTGTGTTCGAGTCACGGCCGCGACTGACCTAAGTCGATAACAAAACATTGGTAGCATCTGTTCCTTCGCCAGGCGCTCGGCACTTAAAAGTGAAAATTGCGGATCCTTCGGATGAGACCTTAAAAACCGAGGCCCTGTGTCACAGTGGGTCTTGGCACGTTAAAGAACCCTCACTGCTCAATGGCCCTGAGTGCCGAGTATAGGTCTGAGTTTTCAGCCCTTCGCCGGTATATGGTGACGTCTCTATATGAGTGAAACATTCTCGAAGGACGTAAAACAGCATACAATCAATCAATCAAACCAATGGCAGACACTCTCAAACAACGTAGGAGTGAAAGGGAAACTATTCAAAGAAAAAAATGACCGTTAATTAACACCCGAAAATACAGTCTCACATCCCAGAATCAATTGAAATTCGATGAGCGTAATTGTTACAAGAAAAATCAAAGTACTGAAAGTACTGGGAAGCGAATTCATCAGAATTATTTTGTTGAATTTAAATTGCCTGTTGTATTTGAATTTAAGCAATATCTTGACAGTCCGGCTGTTTGATACATAATCAAACATGTGAGTCATGAAAATTTCCAGTTGGGATATGAAATTCAACATTGTCTTACGCCTTTTTATTTTAAGCATTTTACATTTTCTTCTTTTGTCAAAAGATAAATCAATTTCACATACATGAAATTGCAAGAAAATATTTCTCCGTTTCTTTATAAAGAAAAACAATATATACAAATTAAATGGCAGATATTTACTCCAAACAGCAATGTATTTCTAAAACCTAATAAAAAAAAGGAAAAAAAGAAAACCATGTATATGTTCTTTCTCCATCTCCTTATAAGAGACTATAAGAGTTAGCTTTGCGTATAAATCGCAATTTATTGGAGGGGGGATGGTTTTTCATTTATGTGCAACACAAACAGCTAATTCTTAATAATAAATTCATTCCGTGTTTACGGGTGTTTACGGGTTTTTCAAATTGAAGATTGGCTGTTAGTGACTATGCTTTAATTTTAGAAACTGCACTCGGAAAATAAAGATGTTATTTGTTTATTGCGTCGATAAATATTTCCTTATTGATAACATAATTATTTATTAAAGTTATAAATAAAACATCTCAAAAACATGGAATACTAGTATTCTCACTAAATGAATCGTTTTTATAGTATATATCTCTTTGTTTCATATTCATAAGCGATTTATAAATTTACGATTTTATAGAAAGGATTTTACAAGAAATACATTAATGGAGTGTGTAGGATATTAACACAATCGCTATGAGCGTCCAGTATTTACTAATGATAAATAAAACTTAGACTGTATATTACATTTTTAACACTTCACATTCATCGCGCTGTGCAGCATATCGGCATCATGTTTGTAACAACGTCATGTGACAAAACTCTATGTCAATGAAATGAGCACCCTTAGAGTTAACGTCCTTTTGTCAGAAATAATTGGTAAATATACATTTTGAGTATAAAGAACTATCCTTTCATCACTGATTTTCATATACATGATTTATAATGTATTTGCAACAAAAATTTGTCTTTTCTGTTGATCTCACAATATGTATATCTGATTTGTAAATATTACTTTTTTAAAATAAAAATTCTATACTTTTCTTCTTCAGATTAAAAACATGTCATTAAACCCCCAAAAGTATTTTGGACCATTGTTGAAATACTTTAAAATGCTTCAGTATTTTTTTTTTACGGACGTTTGATACTTTACACCGTTCTCTACTTGTTTTTGTATGATTTTTTGACTACCACGCAAAACGAATTTAGAGGAAAAGAATATCCAAATATCCACAGCACTGTTGTGTTAGTTGAAAAGGAATACTGCAAATAATTGCCCGTAATTTTTCTGCTATTTCCATGATAAATAATTCAACAGCTCAAGAAAGAAAATACAATACATGTATATTAATCTCAAGTATTAAAAAATCTTCATGAAGGTATACACTGTACAGCATTGTTATATTCTATTTTTATATAGTCCTCATTAAGTTACTTAGCAGTCAAATCTGCAACACGCGCACATCTGTACATAAACTATTTCTTCGTAGTTTCCTAATACAAATATTATACTGTTTGCTTAATACATTTCATTGGCGCTATTCCTGTCCATTGCTAAGAACGTTTAATTAAGGTTTTTTGCGCATTTTTCGCCATATCTTGTGCACTGCACACACAATTTTAAAGCACAATATTCCGAGAAATTAGTTTTCATATTTGAGTGGATTCGTTGAAAACACAGCCACCACGTGCCCTACATGTACGTACAGCCGCAAATTGCTTTTCCTTGCGAATTATTTACATCATTTTTTTTACCCATATTACAAGTATAGAGTAAAACACAAGTATAGACAGTCCATGAATGCATTCCAGTCTGTTACTAATTGATACTGAGATGCGAAAATCAGCTTCATTGATAGCTCTCTGCATGATGCAAGGGTGATAAAAGGAAGACTTGTTTATAGTTACATTGCCTGAAATATGGGTCTAGAAGAAGAAATAATAGTTTATATGGATATAACTTATATAGAACGTACATATGTAAGTACATTGTTAATCAATTTTATGCAAAATTTTCTACTAAATAACTCAATTCCAGTTTGAGTTTTAAATACTTATTAAAATCCCATCTGAGTTTTAAAAATATGTACTTATTAAATCACTACATTACATGTACATGACATATAATAAACCGTTTTTAATTAAGTATTTGCGCCATAGATGCAGCAATTGTTAGCTACATGGTACAAAAGTGATGCGTGCCGACATGATTTTAAATGAACTACAATGTATAGAGATAAGCATGACAAGAACCGCCCTTATCTACTAATAGTGGATTTTCGTACAATGTACATGCATACTCTTTACCTTACTAATTGACTCCTATTATTAGAACTGCACGTAACTCAGTATTACACTGAAATAGCCGAAAGAGAGTCGGGGATTTCCAGTTGCATATTTTTAGAAAACCCAGTGGAGTTATCTGACTTGCTAAGTGGCGCTGGATCGCGAACGGAAGTAGATTTAGGATGACAGAAAGCGCTTTGCGCTGCACTAAGCGGTTAAAAATGAATGTTATACTCTGCAAAATGCCAAAGAAAATACATACTTCTGAATTATATTTTATGTACCCAATGTTCTTTGAATGTTCTTAATTTAAGTGTATCAATCAATGTGAAATTCATAATAATGAACCGTGAATCAATGAAATATAATATCGGTGCCACAGATTTCTCTTACAAGATTTCTTGTTATACATTTAGTTCACTTTGGATTTCTTATGCCGATTTCAGTTGGAGTAATTTGTTAAATTATACATATTAATTTACGCTGCTAATTTTCCTCATTGTTCATATTGTTTTATTTACAAAACCTTTTTCAGTTTTGTTTGTACATCAACCTCTGTTTTCATTTCAGGGTAACCTGTAGCTGTCCAATAGATTGAATCTTCTTAGGCATCTACGGGTAACTTGTTGGATGGAGTGCAGGATGATAAGAAATTTACTGGACAATTAAGTTAATCAAAAGATAAAACAACTTAAACACATATATCCCAAAACAAAAGAATATATTTGACACCGTTATAGGTAACAATTTGCAACAAAAGGCCCATGGACCACATCGCTCACCTAAGCACATTGGCTAGTAAAAAGCAGGAATCAATTCAGTATTGAAAAGTTTACGGGGGAGGGGACAAACTTAATTTTACTAATCACGGCTTTGCTTTTCTTAAACAGAAGAATTTTAAAGATTTTTCCCCTATGTATTCCTATGTAAAAATCTAATCGCTCATTGTGGCACCACCCTACCAATCCTAAATTTGAACAAATTTGAATCTACACTACCCGAGGATGCTTCTAAAATAATATGACTAATCTTGCCTTTGCTATTCTTAAGCAGAAGATTTTTTCAAGATGATTCCTGTATATTCTTATGTAAAACTTTGACCCTCTGTTGTGCCCCCAACCCCTGAGACACTATCACTTGAACAAATACATTTCCTATATGTTCCTATGTAAAACTTCGACCCCATCTTAAGTCCCCGCCCTATCCTGTGGGTTATGATATGAACAAACTAGAGTTTGTAATGAATCTTTCACATGTTTCATCTTTTCTCTTGCCCAGTGGTTCTTGAGAAGATATTTAAAAGATGCCACCAAATTTCTACTAATTCTTAATTATCTCACCTTGAAAGAGGGCGTGGAACTTCCTGTGAATAAACTTAAATTCACCCAAGGATGCTTTGTGACAAGGTTGGTTACGACACACGTCAGAGGACAGACGGACGCCGGGCACACTTTGATCAGAAAAGCTCACTCGAGTCTTCGGCTCAGGTGAGCTTACAAATGTAAAATAATATAAGAAATAATGTATAATTTCTTTTTAGTTTTATTGGGGTGTGAAAACTGGTTGGCACATAATCAAATCCTCCATGTAACCAACCCGTCTTTGCATCCCAAGAAAACTAAAAAAAGATATTTTATTATATTGATTAAAATGCCCCTGTGATGGGACATACTGTAGTAAAACATCTAAGTATGAATCGTCTCAAATTTTGTGGTATCTTATTTCGAATATATAATGTTGACTTCAAAAGATATAAACAAATTAAAACATTTAACTACCCTCAGTCCTTTAAGTA